TCCACCTTCTCCTTTGTGAGCTTCTCTCTACAATACAGCCTCTTAGATGTGCAACTGAGCCTTGTCAGTAAAATGTTCTTGGTTCTGACAGGATCTCTTAATGCTCGAAGTAGCAATGAAGACCGGTCACCAGAAAACAGTGGTTCTTCCGTAGCTGTGGATAACTTCCCAGAAGTGGATAAGACCATCTTGATTGAGAGAATAGTAAGGCTACAGAAAGCTCATGCTCGGAAAAATGAAAAGATGGAATTTATGGAGGATCATATCAAGCAGCTGGTTGAAGAAATCAGGAAAAAAACTAAGTACGTACAGAGTTTGGTTCAAGCCTTTATCAGCGTTTTTAAAAAATGTCATGAGGAAGCTATAAACTGGACACTACAAAAAGTAGCAATGTTGAAGCAGCAAACAAATTTACCAAGAACAAATTATTTGGAGCATTTTGAAATAGGCCCAAAGAGCTCCCTTATTCAGTGGGGTGAGGCTGGGAAGACTGAATCCAGTGATGGGGAAAAAGCAGCTTCTTAGCCATAAGCACTAATTTGGCACAAAAAAAAGGGTCTCCGACAAGTAAATAGAACCTACCATAGAATTAAACTAAAATAGCGATGTTGATAAACTGTAGTATTTCAAAGTTAATTGTGTGTGTAAAATAGGCTGTGCTGTAAAAAACAAAACAAAAAACGCCCTGCTTTGAAAGTGAATTCTGAAAGTATTTCCATAGTAATTTTCAGCTCTCACTAATTGCTACCTTTCATACAAATTGAATCTTAGCAAATTACCTGCTGCGAAGACATTAAGTTTGAAATTATTTCTTCACAATGCTTATGCTGGCAGGTGTTTAGGCACTGAGATCTTTACCTTTTTCCTCTCCAAAGAACAGTTAACTTGCATTAACTCTGTCAGTTTGGAGCTGCTGAGCACTGTATTCTGCTCACTGCACAGTGCCTTTGTGTATTATTATTATAATAGACAGCCACTTATACAAGCTGCGGAAGGGATGATGTGTAGTCAGTCTGTTGTAGTCCTGCAGTTATGGACCTTCCTTTTCTTCCACTATGCACCTGGCATTTTCTGTTTCAAACCTAAGATACGAGGTTAAAATATGCTTAGTTACCTAGGAATTTAGTTCTTAATTTGGTGTTTAATTGATGTTGGCTGGATGTTGCTTATTTTCTTGCCTGGATTTGATGTTGCAATTTTTATCTTATCTGTTTTATATTATCTGCTGCAATCCCCCCCCCCCCATTTCTTTCTGGTCCCCCCCCCCCATTTCTATCTGGCCCTATAGTACTTTCATCTGCATGTAAAGCTTTACCTGCTGCTCAAGTTTTTAATGCTGCATTCTAGAAATTGCATTGCTGCTAGTTTTATTGCGTATTTTCCTGATTATTAAATGTATTGGTTGATTAAACTTTTAAGACTGTTGTATAATGTTTTATCTGTATAATGTATATTAATAAAATAATTGTAAATACTGTATATTAATAAAATAATTTAAATGATAAGTAGATCTTCTCCATTTGGTACAGAGGCCAGATTTTTATGTTGACTTTTAACATAGTAAGTTTAGCAGATCAGTTTTGTGGTGAATTTGTACAGGCAACCTGACCAGCTTTCCTCCTTAAGCCGATATATGCAAATATGTTATTCCCAAACAAAATTAATGTGGTAAATAAGTATTCTGCAGTATTTAAAATAAGCATTGGAGTCTAGGAATATTCCTTAAGCATTCTCAAGTTTAATATAAGCAGCAGTAACGGTCAATATTTTCTTTTACTCCTGACACTTTTGGGGATTTCAAATGATTCCTATGGCAGTTGATTGGTCTCTAGGCTAAGAGTTGGGAATGACTGTGAGATATTATTAACTAAAAGCAGTTTAGCCCACTTTTCTGCTAATGGAGTGAATGTTGTAAGTTACTGCCGTGCCCTCCAAAACAGGATCAAATCTGGCTGGAATAGAGGAGAATTTCTTGCAAGAAGCTTTTAGAAACCAGAATGATATGCTTTGATGTCATGCTGTAGCTGCTATCACGAAGTCAGGGAAGGAGTATGGTTTTTTCCTTCCCAAAATGGTGCAATGAGCCTTCCTTCTAAACAGCTTTTAAAGTTCTTGTGGCCATTCTGTTACTCAGCCCTTATTGATACAAACAAACATTGTTATATGTTGTTTTATACAGAATAATACAGAGTTACATTTTAAGAGAAGAAGCCGGTACATTGTCCTCCGAGGCCTCTGACTTCAACAAAGTGCATCTAAGCAGGCGTGGCGGGATCATGGCTTCTCTCTACACGTCTCACCCAGCAGACAGCGGGCTCACGTTAGAACTCTCCCTGGAGATAAACAGGAAGCTTCAAGCAGTTCTTGAAGACACATTACTGAAGAATATCACTCTGAAGGTGAGCATCTTTATTCCCACAAGGGTGTTCAATGTAGGAGAACCATGTCCCGATGAATCCTACTTCATTTTGTAATATTTTCTATCACGATTTTTCTCATCTGTGTCCAAGGCGCAAAGGGAGCCAACAAAGCACGTAATGCACACAACTGAAATATTCATAATAATACTGAGTTGGGATGCCCTAAAACTAAAGGCCTCTGCTCTTCTGAAGCATGTCTTGCTATCCCATGCACATATATCAGGGAGCCAAACCCTGGAATACTTGGCTACTTTTGAGAAACTATGCATAGAACTGACTGTGTGTTGCTGCCATTGAAACCAAGTAGACTTAACAAGTGGTGACTAACATATTAGTTGTAACTAATTTATCCAGTAGTTATCAGTGGGATGTCGTGAGAAAAACTAACTGTATTGGCATCCAAAGATATAAGAAGGCTGGTTTTTTTGTTCGCTTTTTTACTATAACTGAATTTTTGGGAATAAGACATGCTCATAGAAGGAAGGGTTCCAGGGATTGATGAGGAACATGCCAGTACAGACCTTCTTTATCTCCTGGCTGTATGGAGTGTGGACCACGGTCTTGTTCACTGATCTCAAAGTGATTTAAAGTGGACAATAACAAGTGGTGACTAACATATTAGTTGTAACTAATTTATCCAGTAGTTATCAGTGGGATGTCGTGAGAAAAACTAACTGTATTGGCATCCAAAGATATAAGAAGGCTGGTTTTTTTGTTCGCTTTTTTACTATAACTGAATTTTTGGGAATAAGACATGCTCATAGAAGGAAGGGTTCCAGGGATTGATGAGGAACATGCCAGTACAGACCTTCTTTATCTCCTGGCTGATCTCAAAGTGATTTAAAGTGGACAAATGATCCAGCAGAGATGCTGCGTTATATAATCATTTATGTACAATGCCAATTAGTTTCAGTGGTTCTGTAACTAATTGATGGAACACATGGAAAATAAATTATGGTACTGTGGAACTTTAGAAAACCTAAGAATTCTTAGAAATTCTAATATCCTTGTAATGTGCATAAGTCTAGATGTTAAATATGGGTTTCTTAGGAAAATACACAGCCTTGGTTTAAACAACAAGTAAACCTACTCCGTTAGTGTTTGTTTCTGGGGGTTTTAAAGTGCTTCTTCAGTTTCTTTCCAAAAAGCTAATAAAACATTTCAGATAATTACAGAAAGGACTTCTTACAAATATGACTGCACATTTTAATATGCCAGACGAAAATGTTTTTAGGTGTACTCAGAACAAAACTACATTTTCAGGAAATAAAATATTTTTCAATACTTGTTTTTTCTTATGGATTTGTGTCTCTGCAAAGATGGCTACAAATCAAAATAGGTAAATGCTACCTTCAGTCTGCAATAGACATAAATTAATTTACCATGGTAACAATGTGACTTTATTTTATATTTAATAGTGCATAGGGCACTGAAACCTTCCTTTCTTTTTCTTCAAAGGAAAATCTCCAAACACTGGGAACAGAAATAGAACGGCTAATTAAGCAGCAGCATGATCTGGAACAGAGGCTGAAGCAAACATAGCTGAGAGCAAACCCAAGAAGGCAAAAAAGACAGGTGCACCGAACCCTCTGGGTATATGAACTGCTTGTCTGCCAGTGTCTTCTGTCAGTCCTGTGCAGCTTTAATAATGCAGTCTGGCACATGCTTATGAGAGAGGTTTACAAGACCTAGGCCCTAATTGCCTGCATTGCGTGAAGTGGTAGAGGCTTTGATGAACTTATGTGTGAACAATATATTCATCTATTTCACTTTTGACTGCAACTAGATGCAGCCTTGTGCTACAGAGAGAGAGTCATCCTGATTTTTCAGACACTGCTTTTTTGTGTGTGCAATTAGTATACCCTGGCCATGAAGAAGCTTGAAAAGAGTATACGTGGGGGAGGGGTCTTTTTGCTGGGGTGGGCAGGACTTGGATGTACTCAACATATTAGGGCATATACATTCTCACATGCATAGATTTATTTAAATTGGTTGATTTTTTTAAAATTTATAACATGTTGGGAAAGGCCTTCATCATAAGACTGTTTCCTTACTCTAAGGACGTGGTATTACATGGCATTACATATCTTATCAATGAGAGAAGGGAGCGTATAAGAGAGTATGTTGAGTTCAAAACTTCTGCTGTAGTCAGTGGCTATAAGAAGCTGCTGCCTCCAGGTGGACAGCTGCATGAATCTGTAACATAATGTGAAACTGGAGATCTAATGAGAACTCTGAACTTTGGGAGTAGGCTTTGTAAACTTATATGGAAACAGTGATCAAAACATATCATGATGGCACAAATATGGATGATAAAGAACATACAACAGTATTGTATTGGGGGGGGGGGGGGGAGGCAGAGAAAGGAAAAGGAGGATGGCCCTGATGGCCTTTTGCAGAAGTGGGAGCCATGCTGTGTCCGTGCTTTGCACAGAGTGGACAGAAAGGTCATTCTCTGTCACTTGCTGCAGCGGTGAGCACCTGTGTCCTCTTTACGTCTGACTATGAGGAGAGGGTAATATCCATGCCAAAATATGAGTGCACAATCCCCAAAATACATCCCTAAAACATTAGATGCAACTAAGCATGGAAGTACTTTAATATGTGGACAGAATGCAGTGAACTCAAGAGAGGCTCTAACCTGTTGGGGAGAGATAAAAGAGGAGGTGGTGTTAGCTTAGCCTTACTCTGCGTTCTCTCTTGTTATGGCATGCGCTATCATGTGTCTGCGTTTCCAAGGAGCAGAGCAGTCGAAGGAGGTTCCTCTTCCTTGTGATGGTGTGTTGATTCATATGGCTTTCCTAAATGAGTTGTGCACGTTCAGGTTCATACTTGTCCTGTTATGGAGAGAGAGGTTGAGTGAAATCGCACGCATGCACACCCCATTGCTGGCTTTCAAGAATTCTGTGGTTAGTGTGAATGTGAACTAAAACATTAAGAACTTTTTTCTGTTTTGCTTTGTTAAAATACAAGAATATAGAAACTGTTTCAAAAACCTGAAAATACATGTGACTGCTTTGAAACTGCATTGAGATTAATTGGAATTGGCACCTGCCTTTTGATTTTCCTTCCCTTTCCCTCTTCTTGCTGCAAAAAACATATGACCTCCCTACCAATTGCAATATTCTCTTTCATTGTTTATTCAAAGTACAAAAATGCCACTTGAATAGTTAACTCAGTTGCCTGTGATTTTTCCATTTCTCATTGGATGTATACAGTTTTAATTGCACTCCAAGAACACGGTTATTATTTTTTTGGAAATGGAACAGTCATTGTATAAACATGTATAGTTCTAGAGTTTGTATTTTTTTAAAATCCACACATTTCATATTTTTCTGAAAGTGATACATGTGTACAGTAGCAACATTACAATAGCAGAGCATTTTTACTTATCAGTGCATAATATCAAACTGCACATTAATCCTGGGGGGGAAATTCCTTAGTGTTGTATATAATGAACTTAGAATCCCCCCCCCCAAAAAAAATTCTATTTTAATTCAATATGTATAAATTAGGGCCAGAATTACTGAAACTATAAAAATGTGCCACTTTTGATTCAAGTGGGTAGCCCTATTTAATCAACACTACACTGATTTCAAGGACTAAAACTTCAGAGATAATCTCATGTTGGAATGTTTACAAAATAGGGCTTGTTTGTTAATTTGTATGGTAGGATTGTATTTATTTTCAGTATCGGTCATCCGTAATTGAACCCTAGATACATGCTTGAAAAGTTTTAGTTGCGCTGCGGCTTGTATAAAACTTCCCTTCTTTCTTATGTAGTGTAGACCTCATTTGAGTTAACAGGTTCTGCACAGGTTGCATTTCTGTACTAGAATATTAAGATGCAGAAAGGAGTGCTAGAGAAAACTGGAGACCTAGGCTATGTTTACCGAGAACATTATTTAAGAAACATTTAGCCTGCCTTGTTTTTTGTTCTGTTCTTAATGAGGTCTGATATCAGTTAACCTAGAGAGCATGGTTCTTGAATTACATGCAAATGTTCCCACAACAGCTCCTTGCATTTGGAGAGTAATTTGTGTGGAGCAGCTGCTGTGCACAGATGTGGACTGTTAGGGCCAAACTAGATAGGTGGGAGACATTAGATCTCCTGGTGTCTTTTAAAAGTACTTATCAAGTGCATGATTTGAATCCAGAACCTGAACTCTGCTTTTTAAAAATGCTTTCGAGATTCTGTCTCAAATCTTCCAGGGTCTCATCTGTCTTAACTTGTAGTATATTGCCACAAATCCATTCTTGCAAAGGCATGAAAAATGGTGCATTCTGCACGCAGCACCCACCATACAACAAGTTAGTAGGAAGAAGCTAAGACACAAGCAAATGTGAAGGAGCTACTGTGTTCTCCGGCTTCATCCACTTTGGCCCTGCAAAAAGCAAAGGGAAAAGGAGCGTATCTGTATTAGAGATAAAAGTGTGCCTCTGAACTGCAGGTGATAATAACAGGATATAGTCCTTCTCTTTCTGTCTCTCCTAGGATACATTGCTAAACTCCATAGATAAAGAAGCAGAAGAGAAGGCTTAGCGATCCTCGCTATGCTCACCCTTGTTAGGATTCTATTCCAATAGATTAATTGTGTGTGTGAGAGAGAGAGAGAGAGAGTTAAAAGTGAGGCATCTCCTCCATTGCTTCTTCATAAACAGCTGGTGCTTTTGTTCATGTGAAAGCAGCCTTTGGAATGTAGCATCCATCTCAAATGTATGTCCTTGTATGCCAGTATCTCCTTGGTTACATTCAGGCACTAAAATTACAGCAAAACTGAGGGCGATTTCTCACTAGAGCTGCTTCGCGGCACAGCCGCCGTTTGCCCTGACACAAGTATGTCAATTTCACACCCGAGGCTGCGGGGCTGCATTTGACCAGCGGCTTCGCCCGATTTCCTCCGCAGTTTTGTGATCCTGGTTTTTGAGGATCACGAAACTGCGGAGGAAATCGGGCGAAGCCGCGAGTCAAAGTGCAGCCCCGCAGCCTCGGATGTGAAATTGACATACTTGTGTCAGGGCAAACGGCGGCTGTGCCGCGAGGCAGCTCTAGTGAGAAATCGCCCTCTATGTTTCCAATGACTCTCTTCCACCAAGAGGTTTTACTTTGTATAATGGCAGAGAAATATGTAAAATAATAATTTGATTTGAAAACTTGCATCGTTCTTCTGAGGCACAATGTCAATGGAGTGAAGAACAGCATGATGGAATTGGCAAAAACATGCAATTGTATTGTTCTTAGTTTTTGTGTGCAGCAGCTTCTTCTTAATTGGGGGCATCCTTCTGTTCTGGCTTTTTCTGTATTAGAGAACAAGTTTAGGTAAAGGGTTTCTTGTGTCTGTATAAAATATGCACATCAAGGAATTTTCTGATAGGACTGTTGCAGTGTTTACTCATATCCACCATGTACTTGACTTTGAAAAAATGAGTTGTTGGGCATATCTATATTTTTGAGAATTAAGTCTTTTATGCAGTACAGCCATTATTTTAAAGAGTGTAGTTTTCTTTTACCCATTGTACCTATTGGCTTGGTCCCGGAGAGGTTTTTTTAACTTACCTCCTATGCCATTTTCCCTTGAGAAATTTGTACCTCAAAGGTGTTCCTGCCCCACCAGCCTCCCTGTGAAAATAGTAGCCCAAACAACTGCAATCTATAAAAAGAGAAAAAAGTTATTTAAAGTAATCACAGAACTACATCACAACAAATGTAATTCCACCACTTTGTATGTCTCAAACTCTGCATTACCAAACAAATTTTCTTTTTAATGGCAGCCAAGCTTCTCAGTACACTGAATTTTGTTCCTGCTACCAAATTAGGTTCCTGCTACCTGTTTGTGTACAAAATAGTAGAGTACACAGCCCTTTGCCAATGACAGGGTTTGTGTATAATGCTTTTGCCTGTTCTAGGTGCAGAAATGCCTTAGCCATGTGTGTACACAGCCAAAATGAAACAAAAATCTCTAATGTTGTTTCCTTGCCACTGGAGATACTTAACTCAGGTATTTGGCCTCCATCCTTGAATATCCATGGTAAGTTATGTGCAGAAAACCTGCAACACACTTAGAGCTTGAACTAGGGTCCTCAATCTTGTTGAACCTGCAAGCACTTTGAAGTGATGGACGTCACCACAAAATGGCTGTAGTAGGGGAGAGGAACCACACAAGGGGTGTGTGTGCGCACGCGCAAGCGTTTTGTGGAAGAGATGCTTTATGGCTTCAGTTTACAAAGAATGGGAAAATCTCTGTCTAAGTCCAAGTTGTGGTGATCCTGCCCAGGATGAGCTTGGTGTGTTGCTGATCAGCTGGTTCGTATGACCTGAAGGGCCACGTTTTTCCTCTCCCATTTAAGATTTATTCCCAAGACTCAAGAAGTAGGTGGGTACCAGGAAACCCACCATTGGGTGCCATAGCACCCGCAGCCATCCCATTGGAGATTGCTAGTGTAGAATGAGTTAGAATGCTTTGCACTAGTCTATCATGTTTTTATCACGGCAAGGTTTACCTTGCCCCTGTTAGCCGCCCTGAGCCCATCGGGGAGGGCGGGGTATAAATGCGAAAAATAAATAAATAAATAATGTGGAGATTGACCCAGCATTTTCATTCATGTGTTAGTTCCTGATTGGATGAAGAAGGCTTGCTAGAACAGTCTGTGTTGATATGGGCATTAGATACTGCTTCAGACAAAAAATACAGTTACAAAGAATGCTGCTAACCAGTTTATACCCCCATACTGTCTAATGCAATGAAATCGAATAATTACGTGATGTGAAGTTATCAGCCTCCTAAGCAAAGGAGAATTTTGGACAAGGAGTGTTTGTAGGGTTCAGTTGGTTTGACTTGATTTAATGCAGCATTACAATCCCATTGAAAATCTGCTGCATGTAAACAGTGCAA